AAAAGCCACTTAAAGTCATTACAGGCTGTGGAAAACATAGCCCTCCGCACGGCCACCGACGCGCCCTGGTACGTAAGAAACACTGACATATTACGAGACTTACAATACACAAACGCTACACAGACAATAAGACAAAACGCGGAGAAACGATTTGACGTAGCCGCTAGACATGACAATCCCCTCCTCAGGCAAGCCGTTGACTACGTACCCGACGTGACCGACAAACACAAAAGACCTAGACACCAACTTTTTGACCCTGGGTGACCACACCAACGACTCCCCCCCCCTGCCCGCTAACCTTTTCTGTTTCAGAGACAGCCAGGATCAAGAAACGAAGGCAACGACACACACATACACACTCCCCATACCCTCCCTACCCCTCCCCTACCGCGCTAGCCTAAGGGCCACCTTAGCAAAGCTGGGAAAGACAACGGATAAGTTCATACTATAGTTATAACTTAATAAAATGTACATTACATTGTAATGCTAGAGATAAATAAAGTAGACATAAATACTTGCCTTAAAATTTATTTATGAAATATTTGAAACCTATAAAATAACACACAAGTGAAATAACCGCGCCATTATTCTATGGCTAGAAATTGGCCTCAATGATTTGGGATCGAGGGGGATTATCCCTCTTTATCCTGCCTCATCTCGTGTAGGCCTGGACAGCCTTCGTAGGTGGGCCCCATCCGTCGTCTACCCCGACCGCAAATGCGGCCGGTGTAGGCGCTTTGTGGGACCTCCTTTTGTCCTGGCTGGGCCCCGCCGGCTAGGGCCCTTTCTTCTGGCGCTCTTCTTGCTTCGCCGGCTCGTCTGTGTAAACCCCGGGGGTAGTGTCATGTTTATGTGTGGTATGGTTGGGTAGGGTAGTGCGGCTATGCAGCCTGGGATGCGCTTTGCTAAGGTGGCCCTTAGGCTAGCGCGGGAGGGGAGGGTTAAGGAGGGTATGGGGGGTGTGTGTGTGTGTGTGTGTGTGTGTCGTTGTCTTCGTTTCTTGATCCTGGCTGTCTCTGAAACAGAAAAGGTTAGCGGGCAGGGGGGGGGTCATTGGGGTGGTCACCCAGGGTCAAAAAGTTGGTGTCTAGGTCTTTTGTGTTTGTCGGTCACGTCGGGTACGTAGTCAACGGCTTGCCTGAGGAGGGGATTGTCATGTCTAGCGGCTACGTCAAATCGTTTCTCCGCGTTTTGTCTTATTGTCTGTGTAGCGTTTGTGTATTGTAAGTCTCGTAATATGTCAGTGTTTCTTACGTACCAGGGCGCGTCGGTGGCCGTGCGGAGGGCTATGTTTTCCACAGCCTGTAATGACTTTAAGTGGCTTTTTGCCGCGTGACCCCACGCCGTGGAGGCGTAGGTTAGCTGCGGTTGAAGTACCACCTTGATAAGCGTTCGCTTATTCCTTAAACTGAGGGTGTTTCCACCTTTGAGTAAGGGATAGAGCCTAGCCCTGGTGGTCTTCGCTCGCGCCACCGTCTCCACGATGTGCGGTTTCCACGTGAGACGCTGGTCCATCGTCACGCCCAGGTATCGTGTTTGTCGATTCCAGGAGAGTGAAATAACCGCAGTTTGATAACAAAATTACTAATAATAATGGCAAATAAGACAAATGTTGTTCAAATGAATGTGTAAACACGAACGGCAATGTCAAAATTACCTTGTTTCGGAGCTTACTGCTTTCGCCGCTTGGTGTGCTTGCATCTTAAAAATTATCGCGAAAATTACCTACCTTATTTTGCAAGTTACGAAAAAAAGCATTATTGATAAAAGTTTTTATTTAGAAAATATGAATCACCACGACAAACTTCAATTTTATACTACAGGGTGGGTCAAAAACACAAAAGTGTTATTTTGCTTAAGAGTAAACATACCTTATTTGGCAAGATACGAAAAAAAAGGTATTCTTGATATAAATTTTTGCTTGAAAAATGAATACCTAAGTCACGTTATCAAAAAATTAATTAAGTAATCGCTAGCACACTTCTAATCAGAGTACCTACTAAGTCCTAAAATAATTACTCTTAAGAACACAATTATTTCTCATCAAAATGCTATCTACTGCAAGTTTTTATAATAAAATGTTATGGGGATGGTTACTTATCATATCGCTACATCATGGAGCAATTTAGCAAACTATTTAGAAATCCCAATAAGTCGGATCTGCAAGATAATAAAAAAGTTTTAAAAAACTGGTTCGGTTTTAATCCTCAAAAAGAAAAAGAAGAAATATGACCATGACGATGATGCCACAATTCTGCAGTCTGTTAGAGACAGTGGCGTTATTTTCTCCGGGTGGAATCTGAAATATTTTTTACGACAAAATACTTTTGAATTCCGTATGGATGCTAAAGGATATAGCAGGTTTTACTTATTGTAAAGATAAAAAAAATTAATTGAGAATCGAGGATTTTATTAAGGAAAAAGTGACGGTCCAGAAAAAATATTCACTAAACGACAGTGTACTTAGTATATTGATTATTTTTTGTATAATTCAGTTTTAGTGTAAGTACATCTACGTCCTACCTATTTAGTTTACTAAATGATCTCCCCTGAAAAATTGATTAACTATTAATCGATGCCAAGTGAGATGAAAGAGATACATAACACATTTACAGATGCAGAGGTATAGGATTCAAAGGAAGGAATGCAGATGCAAAATGATCTAGCATTGATGATTTTAAGACGTGCTGCAATTCAAGTATCAATAATTTCAGGTAATAAAAAAACTCTTCAGAAAACCCTGAATTTAGAATAATGACACAAAGACAATATATATTTTACAAAAACGTGTGCTGCAACAAAATATGGTACTTAGAAATGCTTGATACATTTTCTAGCAATGAACTCGAAAATTTACCATGAAATTTTCTCCAAAAAATGTTTTTTCACCAGTATGGTTGTCCAGTACATTGTGCTCGTGAGATAACAGAGTGACTCTCGGAGTGGCTTAACCATAGATTTGGTTCAAGATGGATTGGTAGAAATGGTTCAATTTTGTGGCCCCAAGGAGCCATGACTTAACCATGGCCGATATGTTTCTATGGAGTCGTTTAAAACGAATTGTTTAATGTTTATGCTACTCCAGTACCAAATAACATTGAAGTGCTAAAAGCCAAAATTACACAGGCTGTCCGTTCAATATACCCAGGCTGTCTGTTCAATATCCCAGGAAGAAATCAGAAGTTCCTTCAGATATCTAAGAAAAGTATGTTCAATATTGGGGTGGTGTTTTTGAATTTTGATATCTTCATCATATATTGCTTTGTTTACTTTTTTAGCTTAATTGTTGTAATTATCGTATTATTTAAAAATTACACTTGAATAAGACATATTTTAGTTTTGTACTTTTTGTTCCCTGTATAAAAAAATTAAATTTTTGATAACACGACATTCATTTTTCAAGCGAAAACTTTTATCAAGAATGCCTTTTTTCGAATCTTGCAAGGTATGTTTATACTCTTACGCAAAATAACATTTTTGTGCTTTTGACCCATTCTGTACAACAAAATTGAAGTTCCGCATAGTGATTTGTATTTTCTAAACAAGCAGTAACTTTTATCAAGAATGCCTTTTTTGCATATCTTTTACTTTTTGGTCCATTTGTCCTCTTGTATAAACACAATCCGCGAACATACTGTCATAAAGTTTTGTGTTGAATTATTTACAGTTGCTGTTTTTTCTTAAATATGTACATACACCTCTCATAATAAATAATAATTATAATAATAATCTTTATTTTCAAGAACAGTTACATAGATCCAGTAACATTAATGAAAATAACGGCAACAGAGCTTTGCTATTACAGGACTAACAACTTTATAATTATCCATATAGAAAAAAGAAATACCTATATAATTTAATAATTAATAATTTAATAATAGACTTCAAAGAAGAATTCATCCTTACAAGCTATTATTATTGAAATACTCATCTACAGTATATGGTTCCAGATCTATTAATAAATTTAAAATTTTCTTTTTGAAAATTATTATATCTGTAATTATTCTTATATCAGCAGGCAATTTATTATACATTTTAATACAATTATAAAAGGCACCTTTTTCTGTAACTGTCAATCTGTGTATCGGATAGGAATAATCCTCAGTTCTGGTTTGGTGGTTATGTTGTGAAGACATTTTTGTGAACAAATGCCTGTTTTTTAAAAAGAATAATAATATTTCTTGTATGTAAACAGCTATGAAACATATGATATTTGCCGGGCAGCCTTGCAAATATCGCGAACCGTTGATTGCAATATTTCCAGTCGATGCGAGAACTAAACATTTAAGAATTGAATTCCACTCGTTTTTTCATTCAAGATCTCCCACCACTAGATGGGACCCACCTTCACGAGGCTGTTCAGGCCTACAGACCAAGAGGGACAGTCACCCTCGGTCCTAAATCATGTAGGCCACCAACATCGCCAAAAATAACGGCGCGACCTATACCCATCCTCCTGGTCTGCACTCCATAGATATTGCAACAGTAGTTTTCGAAAATTAACCCGTAGTGATGTAAACATAGCATTCTCTTCCTCGAAATCCATAAGAATAACAAAGACAGAGATAGCAATCTGAGCAGCTCGGTTCAATTTCCGAAAACCCCTAGTATAATAGAAATCAGTAAACACAAACACTTTTTTATAAAGAGGGATGGAAATTTAAAATTTTAAGGATTTTTTTTTTTGCATGGAAAACAGACATAATTACTCCTTTCCAATTATCAATAAAATTGAAAACCATTTCACTTCTTCAGATAAATGCAGCAGTAATTAAATATATTCATGGCGAATTCACAAACAGAAAACACATGTCGTACATAGATGTAAAAGATTTATGGATTACCACACTTTTGAGAAATTTGTATTAAAAGATAGAAGCACAAATGGGAAAATAGGGGCAGTGCCAGAAAATAAACATTAAAATTGAAAAATGAATATATTAGTTTTTATTTTCTTTTTAATTGGTTTTTAAAGAAATACAAAATATGCGTATATTAAATAATAAGTACAAGTAGTAAATAAATTGGCACAAATAAGTTACAAAAGAACAACTACACAACATAAAAAAAAAAGTATCATAATTTATGTAACATCTACTTGGGTTTCTTTGCTCTTGAAGTACTGGCTGTAGTTTTTCTTTTCCTGTCCTCTACCAGAACAAAGTTTTTATTTATCATATTTACTGCTTCCTCTAAAAGTTTATCTAAAGCTTCATTGGCAAAAGCTACACCTATTGGTTCTTCTCGTGGTTCTTCAAGTAACTTTGACTTAACATACTCTTTCTTTTTTAGATAACAGGGATCTGGAATCATTTTCACATCAAAATCAAATGTCAAACTCTTTACTAATTCTCGAACAGCTTCTCTTTTGGTTTCATTAGTTTCAGGCTCAGGATAATCAGTTTTCTTTGGGAGAATTATTTCAGTTGCAAATGGTATGTATTTAACTGCACAAAAATAGATAACAGAATTAATTTAAAAATTCATAGTGTGATACAGGATGCCCATTAGTTAACCTTAATCAGTATGTATCAGTAAATATGTTCAAAAATAAGGAAAACCTTTGGGGAACTTGTAGGAATTAATAAATGACATTTTAGATATCTATTCATTACTTTATTCTCAACAAGACGGATAGGCAGTTATGGGACACCCTGAATGACATAATATATTAAACTGAGTTAATCGTAACCGCTTAACGTGTTAACAGAGATAACTTTTTAGCTTCGGTTTTTCATTCAACACTTCAGTTGTCATATCATATGAGGTATATTAATATAATGTAGTCACTTAGAATAGGTTAATGTTAGAGCTCACTGACACTGAGAATTACAAATGAAACCGTACTTTAAAAAAATCTAACAAATACTTTTTTATTAAAAACATGAACTGATTTTAAAAAATATTTCAAATTTATCAGATTAGCAAGTATTTTTACATTTTATAATAAAACTGCAAAAATAATTAATTAAATTATAGTTTTGTTTATAATTAGTAACATATGCTTATTCACATATCAATATTCCTTAATATTTAATAAATCATATAAAAAATATGTTCATCATTCTGCTACTTCTTTAGTTCATAGTTGACACAAAAAGATAACAATAGGCAACAATGATAAACGAATATATACAATAGAGCTCGGTAGCTGCCTAATAACTGCGCAGACAAGAGTTCAAGTGCAGTTTAACAAACAAATTATAACGCGACTCAAATTATTTGATTTAAAAAAATACATATTTCATATTAGCAATCTGACGAACACATACTATTACCCTTAAAAAATTAACCCTCACTTAAAGTTACACACTGTATTATAGTGTTTAGGTGAGAGGGTGTTTGTAAATAAGTGCGAAATATTTTAGGGGTGGTTGTCGAAGTTATTTTGTGAAAGAAAGTTCATATAAACGTAGGACGGAATATGCTTCACTTCCGAGATACAGTGTTTAAATTTTAATTTTTTATTTATTTTTATTAATTATTTCAGAGTTTTAAAGATATTGACTCGAAATTTGATGGTTGTATTTTATTTAGAAATATTGGCAGCAACCTAATAGAAATGTATTAATAGAAATTAAAAATACACACAACTTGCAATAAAATGTATTATTTTTTACCTCAAAAACGGTGCATCCTACGATAAAAATTGAAGAGACCAATTTCATTCAGAATTGATGGCGGATTTCTAAAAAAATATCAAAACGGGAAAAAGTCAGTGGCGTAGGTACCATTTTTTTATTGAAAAAAATTTGTGGCATCGCACGAAAGCCACTGGTGCAAGTAGAAATATTTCAGATCACCCCAAAAATGTACATTTATCCCCCCAAAGCGTTTTTCAAATTTCAAATCAATATCTTTAAAACTGAAATAATTAATAAAAATAAATAAAAAATTAAAATTTAAACACTGAATCTCGGAAAAGCATATTTTGACCTACGTTTATATGAACTTTTTTTCAGAACATAACTTCGACAACCGTCTCCTAAAATATTTTGCACTTATTTACAAACACCCTCTACTTATATACTCAAAACTAATATAACAAATTTAGTGCTGCTAGTTTTTCACAGGCAATATTTCATAGTTGTGGAAAATATTAAATATAATCGTATATAATATATTCGCTTTAAAAAAAATTGTTTATTATTTCAAGTGTTTGCTTAAGGGGTTATCACTGAAAAAATTTTTTTTTCAATTTTTTTACATGAAAAGGAAGGAAATATCCATAAAATTAATTTTTCCGAAGCAATTCAGAAGCGTAAAAATAGCAGAATAGTGAAAATACTTCAAAGGTGAACCATAGATGTCATCGCAAGCAAAACAACATTATATACACGGCTGGACATAAATCAACAAAGTCAAATAATAACACAAACAATAATAGCACAACTGGAAACTGGAACTACAGCGCACAGCTGATTGATGACGCGCATGCTCTAACCATTGTAAAAATTTTATATTTGATATATCGGCTGGAAATCCACGTGGCCCATCTGCATTTACATGAGAGCGACAAAGTAAAGTAAAGAAATCCGTGCGATAGACAAGGATGGCTATTTTGAAGACGTTTCATAATCTGAACAGTCACTCCCACTTCTAACCCGAAAGGGGCGACGCAGCATCACTTCGGCCAGAAAAGAGCAGGAAGAGCAAAATACGGCCATGGAAGGGCAATTATATGGTGCCGGGATAGCAGACTGATAGTAAAAAAAAATGTATGCACCATGTTATTATGATTTTCAAAAGTTACAGCGTTCTCAAACTTCAAACGCGTTTTTCCCGCAACTATGTTTTTGAAATTGGCGAGCAGCAGAACTCGAAGAGTTTTCATACAATCGACTTGAAAATTGAGCTGTAACTTCGTGTGATTATCTAGTGAAGTACACACGATTTTTACAATTGGTCAACAGGATTTTTTTTTATAAACAATCAGTCGTTTTTTTTGTCAAAAATTCGAATTTTTTATTCAAGATCTCGCCAGTTTACGAAAAAAATTCCTAAAATTATGATCGTGTGTACTTCACTAGCTAAACTCATGTAGTTTAAGAAAAAATTTTTTTATGCTTCCACATGGTGATCTAAGGGACTATAGTTCGCCGCGGAGGACCTTGGACAAATTTAGTTTTGTTCAGGCGCCCCTACAGCCGCCATTTTGGCAATAAATTTTCAACAAAAAAATTTTTTCTTACTCCTGCAGAGTTTCTTAATCGATTGGTATATTGGTAGTTCATGATTATTATAAAAGAATGCTCAAAAGAAATTCTTGAAAAAAGCCTTTTTTTTCGGGCTCCAAAGTGATATAACCCCTTAAAATATCACACATTAAACGGTTAACATAGTCGATAATTTATTGTACTTACCAAGGAACATCGGAGAATTGTTTACAGTGTACGGAATAAGTTCCGTGTAACGGATTTTACCAGGTTGTCTCTGCTTTAAAGCACAGACCAGTACCCTTTCTTTCTCGACACAGTTCTGCCAAAATTTTTTAAAATACACATCATCTTTATCCCGCGACATCAGAAAGAAGGGCTTACCCAAAACATAACCAATATCTGTGGACCTCTTTGAAACATATAGCAAAGTCAGCCCTAAAGGTAAAGTGTTGTCCATAATGCAATTCTTTTCGTATGAGTCAAACTTAATACTGTCCCGTCCAGGGGCTTTGGTTCTGAAGTAATAAGTGGCGTCGACAAGTTCATCGCCATCTTCTCCTGTCAACTTCACAGGTTTGCCGTCTTTGGTTAATCTACTATTAATCAGTGCTGATGTACGTATGAAGTCCAATTTGTAACAATTTAAAGTGCGTGACGTGTCGCCTTTAAAAGGATAGAATAACATTTTTCTGCGTGCATGTCTCATTACAACTGCCGAAGTTAATTTTTCTGTTAGACCTTCCTCATCTTCACAGATTACTTCTACAAGTGGATTGTCCAATAGCGAAAACAATTCATTGTAAAATTTGCTATAATTGAAATCTGATGTTGTTGGAATTATTTGGAAGTCAATTTGGTTCCCACTGAACGTTTTTATCTCATTAAAAACTGTAAATTTTTTTGTGGCATCTTGGACGGGTTCATCGTCATCAGTGATATATATGAGTGTTCGTTTATAAAATGCCGTTTTAATGTCGTGAAATACTTTCTTACATGCTAACAAAAACCCAGCCAAATCAAATTCTCCTTTTCTCTGATATTCTTCGGCAAGTTGTTTATTGGGTAGCCCAGCTTTTGTTTTCAAAAGTTTTACTGTATCTATCAAATTATCACGAAATTCCGTAAGGCAAGGAGATTCCTCTTTAGCCAGTAACACCGCAAACTGATTCCAAGAGCGGTTACTTGGAGCAAGCAATAACGAATCTGCCAAAGAATAACAAGCTGATAAACAGTCTTTAAATGGAATTGAATTATCTTCTTTCTTCCTGAACATTAAAGGATGAGTATCAATTGCTATCACAACAAAGGTAGGTTTGAAGTTCTTTTCAGTTTCTGGAATTTCATCATCCTCTTCATTGTCAGAATTTTCCTCATTTCGCCACATCTGAAATTGAAATATTGTTAAGTATATATTTCTAATACTTATTTTATTTTTTACTCAATATTCCGAATGTGAAATTGTTTACTATGCAGCAAAATTTCGACACATCAAACTATTTTCAATGAGATTACCAGGGAGACTAGTCTCTATGGAGATTACCTTAATTACCTTATACGTAAATGTTATCAAGAATTCTTACACCTAACACTTTATACTAGGTTATATCTAAAACCAACGGTTTTATAATAATTTACAAAATCAAAAACTAATGAATAATCAGATACTAATTTCACTTCACAATCACAACAGTATCATTTATCTAGGATCACAACTGCATTTGATTTTGATTTATTAGATTAGTCAATAGCCAGTGAGCCACTCACCACAGATTAAAGATTAAATCATGGAGACTATACAAGGAGCCCGAACTCCATGTAAACAAAAATCTTACAAAAATAAGAGGGCGCTAGTGTTCCATATGACCCATATGTAGAGAGGGGAGATAAAAAGCGGCAGTTTGAATTATAAATCAATCATGTCATTTTGGTAATGTGTTAAAAATTTTAAAATAAATAATGCACGCTACTTTAAATTATATAAATCATGAAAATATGTCATTCCGGACTGTAATTAAACTAAATAGATAATAAAAAATATTAGCTTTATGAGAAGAATTTGGTGTTCGTAGAAAGAAACTAGTTTTCAAGGAATTTATGACGTGATCTTGTTAATATTAACCTATAAGTAAGGTTTATGTTTTTGATAATTACTTTGTTAAAGATTTTAGTTTAATGTTAGTAAAAGTCACATTTTATACAGGAAGTTGCCTTTAAAAAAATAGTAATTCTTGTATTATTAATATGGAATTTTTACTTGTGGTAATAAAAAATAGAATATAAAAAAACTCGGTGTTTTAAATAAACTTTTAAAATATTACAGATGTCCGATTTTGAGTCCAGTGATTCAGATGACTTATTAGACGCATTGTCCAGCTTGAG